CTGTAAATTTGGTTGAAATATATTCATTTTTTTTTTTTTTTTATCTGTTGTAACCTTTTTTTCTGGATATCCCTCGTAGATGCAAATCGAGAGCAATGCGTCATGGCGAGATCTTCTTTGGAATTCATCTTCACTGTGCTACTCAAGAGGACTGAGCCTATCTCTGATATAATCCTGGTGGGCTGGTTCAGGATCACGTCAAAAATGTTTAAATTTATTCTTTGGTTTGCGTTTCCACCATTGGTAGATAATGAGATGCAAGCAAACTGAGGCCGCCAAGGCAAAACAGCAAGCTGAACTGCCTCTGAGAATCCGTTTGAGGAGTTAAACCTGCTATGGAACAATATTTTTTTTAAAGATAAGTTTGAGAGAAATAAACTGATTCCATTTGGTGCATGTCCCAAATCGGTTTAACTCATTTTAAAACTTATTTGCCTGGAATTATATTAGTTAAATTCCTGAACCGATATGGTGCATGTCACCCTGAATGCTTCTCTTTTCATCATACAACTATTCATTCAACATTTCATCATACAACTGCTCAACTATTCATTCATTCTATCCATCTTTCCGTCTCCGGTCAGAAAAGACTCCAACGCTCATCCTGCTATCGTAACATTGATTATCCGTCCAGGCTTTTCTAGGAAGATCTGAAGAGAATCGCATGGAACTCTGTTGAAAGAAACTCAGCCTATCCCGGTTGCATCCGCGTGAAGCAAAGAAAAAAAAAATCGTGAAACGAACCAACCTGGCAGAGACCGAAAAAGCGCATGGACGACGAGCCGATACCTCGCCCTCTCGACCCCGAGGACCGAGCAGGCGTAGTACCCCCCATCCCCCACGCCCACGCCGTAGATGTGGAGGCTCCAGCTGCGATCCACCCGGATCCTCCCCCGGGTCCCCGCCGCCAGGGACTCTGGCTCCAGGTACTCCAGGTCTTTCTTCCACTCCGGGGGGTAGCCCAGCCGAGAACTCGTCGGGGATCGAACGTACGTTATTTTCGGAAGCTTATCCGTGGGGGAATTTTTAAAATCCGCTTTTCGTTTTGACTTTCCAGTTCTTTAGTTCTCGCGCCGACTGCTATTTCTGTTTTTACTGCTAATGCTATCCGCTTTCATCGACGACGATGCGATTGCATTCATTTCGATGGAAATGAGTTCGTTCTCACTCGGGACAGGGGAGGGTGAGGAAGGCTCCTTCCATCCTCTCCACGATTTTCAGCGGGATTTCGTTGGGAGAAGACGCGGCAACGTCGAGGAGGGCCGCCCGCTCCCTCTTCCCCAACGCCTCCGTGGCGACATCTGGACGACAAAACGAAAGAGAGTTCGTCGACTCCGTCCCCCGCAGTTCTCACGAGTTGCTTGAGGAGCGAGGAACCGGCTGGAGGGGCAGGGCTGGCCGGGACAGGGCACCGCGAGCACGAAGTCAGTCAGGCCTTCCGTCAGTTTCTTCAGCGCCGGGGATTTCTCGAGGTGGTAGGAATGGCAAGCGATTCCCCGGTTCCGCGACAGCTCCGGAGGGACGTTCAAAGGGGCCTGAGTAGTTCAAGGGATCTTTATGCAATCTTTCAAGCAATCCAAGCAGTGATGGTGTTAACAGTGCGAGTGGAGGGGGGGGGGGGGCGCAGGGGAC